CAGCCCCAGCCGGCTCCAGTGTGCGGCCCCCAGCGTTCGAGGGGCCGCCCTGTGCCCCGCAGGCTGCCAGCAGCGCCTCCCCTTCCCGGGAGTCCCCGGGCCCAGCCAGCTGCTCCCCACACTACGGTCGCCGTGGCCTGGGCTCAGGGTGCAGGTGCTGCTTTCTGTGTGAAGTCCCCACGTTGGAGTGCACGTGTCCCACGTGTTGGGCCGGTCGTCACACCCCGAGTCCTGGGGCGCTCTGGGGGCTTTGCAGCCTCCGGCAGGTCACTCGCAGTAGGGGCAGTCCGAGGCACCACCCCAGTCCCTGGAAAGAGGAGAACTGGGCGACCAGGTCCAGGCTGGCTGCCTGTCCACAGGCCGGGCCTGACCCTGCCCTCTGCCCTTGCCGTTGATCCCAGGGGAACCTGGTGGCCGTTGGCACACACAAGGGCTTCGTGCAGATCTGGGATGCCGCTGCGGGGAAGAAGCTGTCCATGCTGGAAGGCCACACGGCGCGCGTGGGTGAGGAGCCCGGGCCCTCCGCCCTCTCCCTTGGGGCCAGGCTTCCCGGCCAGGCTGAGGCCCACTCTGCCTTCTGCCCGCCTCCAGGGGCCCTGGCCTGGAATGCTGACCAGCTGTCCTCCGGGAGCCGGGACCGCATGATCCTGCAGCGGGACATCCGCTCCCCACCCCTGCAGTCAGAGCGGCGGCTGCAGGGCCACCGGCAGGAGGTGTGCGGGCTCAAGTGGTCCACGGACCACCAGCTCCTCGCCTCGGGGGGCAACGACAACAAGGTAGGCACCGGCGCGCCCACACCCCAGCCCCAGCTGCCCACCTGCTTCGCGCTCTGTGGGGGCACTGGGACAGGAGGCCGGGTTCTGCTCCTGAAGGCCATCTGGCTTGAGCTCGTCCCTTGCTCTTAGAAGAGCAGGGTGACAGGGGTGTGCCCTGGTGGCCCCCAAGGGGAGGGCCTGGGGAGCAGGTACCACCTCTTTTCTGGGGCTGGCCTTGGGGACATGTGCCCCGGGCTCATACAGCCACTGTCCCCCAGCTGCTGGTCTGGAACCATTCGAGCCTGAGCCCCGTGCAGCAGTACACCGAGCACCTGGCGGCCGTGAAGGCCATCGCCTGGTCCCCTCACCAGCACGGCCTGCTGGCCTCAGGAGGCGGCACGGCTGACCGCTGCATCCGCTTCTGGAACACGCTCACGGGGCAGCCACTGCAGTGCGTGGACACGGGCTCCCAGGTGTGCAACCTGGCCTGGTCCAAGCACGCCAACGAGCTGGTGAGCGGGCGGCCACCCGGCAGGAGGGCGGGGCGGGGACACGGGCTGGGCCTGACCTCTCCCCGCCAGGCCAGCAGGGTGACTAGTCAGAGAGGCCGGCTGGCCAGGAGGCCCCGTGGCTGCCTCTGTGGGGAGAGGGTGGAGAAGGAAGCCTGGCGTCCCCTGGGCACACTGACCCAGTCCATCCTTCCATGGGTGGAGGAGGGTTTGCGGTGGGCACAGAGACAGGGGCTGCAGCGCCCTGGGATAGGGGTCCTGTGGGACTCCTGCCACTGACTGCTGAGGCCCCCACAACCCCGGGGTGACCGGGAGGCCAGTCCTCCTCCAGGCACCTCAGCCCTGGGTGCAGGAGCAGCCACCACGTCCTGGAGCCCAACCCAGCCCTCCCCTAGGTGAGCACCCACGGCTACTCTCAGAACCAGATCCTCGTGTGGAAGTACCCGTCCCTGACCCAGGTGGCCAAGCTCACGGGGCACTCCTACCGCGTCCTCTACCTGGTGAGTGCGTCCTCTCCAGGCTCTTCTCCTGGACCCATGGGAGGAGACTGGGGCCAGGCTTGCTCTGGTGGCAGTTCACGGGGGGACGGTTGCTACGTCCTTGGCTGAGCCGCCTCACCCACCTGGCCCTCCCGGCCACCTCCACCCCTTTACGGGTTTTGTTTCCCATGAGAAGCAAGCCAGGGACAGCCAGCGTCGGATAACTGGGGTCTTATAGCAGAGCCCTTTGGCCACAGAGGGCAGGGCAGCTCCCTGCAGACCCCCTCGCGCTGTTTGTGCCGCGCTGGGCTGGCACCCAGGGCCTCGCACCTGCTAGGCAAGCACTCCACCCCTGAGCTACAGCCCAGGCCTTTTTATTTTATTTTGAGACAGGGCCTCGCTAAGTTGCCCAGGCTGACCTCGAACTTGTGATCCTCCTGCCTCAGCCTCCCGAGTAGCTGGGATGACAGGCGTGGCCATTGCTCCGGGCCTCTGCAAGTTCTTTCCAGCAAAAAACGTTTTTGTGCTGGGCTGGGATGTAGCTCGTGGGTAGAGCGCTTGCTTGAGCATGTGCGAGGCCCAGGTCCACCCGTAGTGCCCTGCGCCAGGTTTAGTGCTTAAGGCGGCGTGTCCACCTATGCACGTGTGTGCCCTTGCTCCTGGGCACTCGGCGGCCCGTCCTTTGGTTCCGATGCTCTGCCCTGCTCCTGCCCTGCGCGGCCTCTGGCCCTTGCCCTTCCTTCTGGCCTCCAAGGCTGGGCTCTGCCCCTGTGGCTCTGATGGCATCTGGCTGCCCATACTTGCTCCCAGCCTTGTGCCCCCCACTCTGTCCCTGGGCTGCCTGCAAAGACCCAAGGACATGGAGGGGTTTCTGTCCTCTGCACAGGCAATGTCCCCTGATGGGGAGGCCATCGTCACTGGTGCTGGAGACGAAACCCTGAGGTTCTGGAATGTCTTTAGCAAAACCCGCTCAACCAAGGTACGGTGGGTGGGGGCTGCCCGGCCGGCCTGCAGCCTGTCCCGCGCGGGCGGCGGCTCACAGGCTCCGTGTCTGCAGGAGTCCGTGTCGGTGCTCAACCTCTTCACCCGGATCCGGTAGACCCAGCGGCAGGAGCATGCCATGCCTCTGTCCAGGCGGAGACCCCTGCTCATCCGTTTGCATGGACCCTGCCGTCCCCCCGCACACAGCCTGGAGGAAGCGGCCGGGTGGGCGGGAGCTGGGCCTGGAGACACCCTGGAGAGTCTAATTAAACGCCTGATTGTGAACCATGTCCACCAGTATTTGGGGCGGGGACCAGGGACCCTCAGGATGGGGGCTTCGTCTCCCTTCCCGAAGGGCAGGAGTCTCCCGGCATCCCTGAGACCCAGTGCGGACGTCGGCGCTCGGAGCAGGATGGACGCCTCTGGGACCCGCCCGTGTCTGTGCCTCGCTGGGGCCGCAGCTGTCCTGGAAGCACGTGCCCATCTGCTGCCACTGCCTGCCGTGCTGACCTGCCAGCTGGACGCCAGGGCTGGCCAGTGGGGGCGGCCAGGAGGGAGGCCCGAGGCCACGCGTCCAGCCAGAACTGCACCGCTCAGCCGGGCCCGAGGAGCCTGCAGCCAGTGGGGCGTCTTTGCAGCCATTTGTGTCACCACCCGGCAGGGGCCTCAGCGGAGATGTCGGCAAGCACCGGCGTGGAGCAGGCCGGGCCTGTGTCCACGGGAGAGCATCTGGGTGGACTTGTCCTCAGGACAGCTGCACTCTGCCATCGCCATCCTCGCCTGCCGCCCGCGTCTTTCCGCCTGCGAGACTTGAATGTTTCTGTGCCTGCTGGGCGCGGGGGTCCCAGAGGCCGCCTGGCCAGGGCTCAGGCGGCCGCGGTCATCTGCAGCACCTCACCTCCTGGCCTTCCACCTGGCCGCCTGCCTCAGGGAGGCTGGAGAGGACAGGAGCAGGGACGCCCGGGCCTCCAGCAGCACCCTGGGCCTCCCCCGACGCCAGATCCTGCTCGTCCTCCTGCTGGCCCGGGCACAGTGCCCTGCTCTCATCGCCCCCGAGCCTGCAGGATGGGCGTGGTTGGGCCAGAGCAGCCACCTTGTCCCCTTGTTGACGGGTCCTGGGCCGGTGGGGTTGGGCCTGGCGCAGCCAGGGAGGCTGCGCGGGCTGGGTGCGCTCCCTGCGCGGTGTGCATGTGTATATATGTATTTGTGACTCTGCATCCGTCTTCTGTGTTCTGTCAGCAGCCCGGCTGGGGGGTGGACGGGAGGCCCCCTGTGCCGGGGCCAGGCTCCGCCCTGCAGGGCCAGCGCTGGGTCCACTGGGCCTGCCTCCCCAGGGTCGCCGTCTCGGTTTTGACTGTTTTTAATAATAAGAAAACCCCCCACCCCCACCGCCGCCTGCTCCCAGCCTGGAGCGGTTGCCGCGGGACCTCCAGAGCCCAGGCAGTGGCCTGCTACCTGGGGGACTCAGGCGTGGGCGGTGGGTCCTGTGGGAGGGGTCATCAGCAGGCCACTGTCCTCCTATCACCTGGGGGTTTGTGTGGGGGAGGCCCAGCTGGAGCCAGGGGCACCTTCTGTTGGCCCACTTGGGGGACACGAGGGTCATGGGTCCAGCAACTCCTGCCAAGGGCAAGCCACAGTCAGTCCTGTGGGGCCAGGGCCAGGTGCACACCCTGGGTTCCTGGGGTCACCCCGCGATGGGCTGCTGTCATCGGGGAGGGGAGGGCAGGACAGGAGGCCCGGAGCTGGGCTCGTTTGGCAGCAGGTCCCAGGTGGAGGGGCCAGAGGGGCAGGAAGGACGGGGAGAAGGGCGTGAGGCCAGGCCAGCCAGAGGCGATCAGTGGGGGACACAGGGCAGGAGGGAGCAGAGGCCCCTGCTGGGAGGCCAGGGGAGGCAGGAGCAGGGTCCTCTGTGGGGACTGGCCAGGGACTTGGCCACCTGATCAGAATCCAGAGCCTCTCCAGCTGCATCCAGTGGGCGAGTTCAGGTTGATCGGGGTCACTAGGAGGCCTCTGTGCAGCTGTCCCACAGATGGGGACAGAGGCTGTGGCCAAGGGCACCGCGTGGGGAGCTGGGAACCCACCTGGCTGCGAAGGGAGCCAGGCTGCAGCAGGAAGCCTGTGCAAAGGCCCTGGGCTCAGGGGAGCCCCGGGACGGGCAGGGGCAGTGGCCACTGTTGGGGACCCGTCCAGGTGGGCAGAGTCTGCACGTTTGCTGGGTTCTGTCCGCGCTTTCGATCACGGTCAATAAACACAAAGTACCCAGATAAAATGAACCAGCCAGTGGCCTCGGCGGTCTTAAGGCCTCCACGCCAGCTCCAGAACATTCCGTCACTGCAGGCCCCTGTGTCCCCGAGTGGTCTTCCCCTCCCAGCCCGGCACTGGGTCCAGGTCCACCTCTGACCCCCATCCCAGGTGTGTCCTGGGCATCTGTGGCTCTCAGGTCCAACACTGCAGCTGTCCCCTCGCTCCTGCCCGCTGCCAAGGGACATTCCAGCCTGTGTGTGGACGGTGCTGTGTGTCCCTTCATCCCCCATGGACACTGGGTCCACCCCGACCCCTGAGCACACAGGTCCTGCGCTCCTGCCCCGGATGTAGGAGGACAGGGCGGCAAGGAGCCGAGAGGGGGGACCCCAGGGCCTGGGCCCCGGGCGGTGGACTGCCTGCCCCCCCAGGCTAGGACACACCAGCTGGGGGGCACTGGAGGGCTCCCCACAGCGGGGGAGGGAGGAGGGCCAGGGCAGGACCAGGGCCAGCCCCACCCCATTGCCAGGTGGCCTTTGTTGCTGTCAACAATGGCCCCAAGGGCCTTCCTGGCAGGAGCCTGTGGGACACAGAGGCAGACATGCAGACCCTGAGGCGGGAGGCTGCCCGGCCCTGTGTCGCCCTGGGCACCCTTGAAACCGACTTCCCCGCTTCCCTGGACAGGTGAGCACTGTCCCGGCCCCAGACGCTGCCTGGCCTTTTCCTTCTGTCCCCAGCTCAGTGTCATTTGCTATGCTGGTGACACCCCTCTCCAGCTATGGGGCTGGGGCGCGGGGAGCCTCACCTGGGGTCACTGCCAGAAGCAAACCTGGGGCCACTCCAGGTCAGGTCCGGGGGCGGGGCCCCTCGGGAGGCCTGGGGCCGACCCCCTCTCCGCAGCTCCGGGTGGCCCTGGCCACCGCGTGCCGTCTCCCTGCCCGTGTCCAAACTCTTCTTTAAAATGACAGGGCACCAGAGTAGGCCCAGCTGGCAGCGCCCTCATGTCACGGGGTCACCCTGGGCAGAGCCTCTTTCCAGACAAGGGCCGCCCCTCACCCAGGGCAGCTTCTGCTGAGAGGCCCCGTGATGGGCGGAGGGAAAAGCACGCAGCTGTGCAAAAGGATGGGCAGGAAGGAGCTTGGGGCCCTCCTCCAAGGGGAGAAATGAGTTCAGAAGGAGGGCAGGACAATGTGGGTCTCCCCCCCCAAACCTGCTTGCCACACGAGGGGAGGACGCTGCCAGGGACAGGGACGGCGAGGGCCTGCCATCACACCCTTCTCCTTCAGTGCCTGGATGAACCAAGGCCTCATGCTGGGCAGCACTGACCACTGGACTGCTGCCTGGCCCCTAGTTTTAGTCTGAATGACCTTAGTGAAGTGTGGTTTGGGACATGAGTAGCACATCTCCACTTCCTGTTGGTACTGCAGATTCTGTCTCTTGATCTGTGCCTTTACCCACTGCCTGCTGCCCCAGGGCCTTTGCATGTGCTGCATGCAGCCTCTCAGGAAGCCCAGGACAGGTGCAGCTGGCCTCCTCTGCATCACCTACCCAGCCTGGGGCCATCGTGTCCTCCCTGGGCCATGCCCCCAGCCCCCACCCTCCTTCACCCAGCCTGAGCACCTCCAGGCCAGGGATTCCTGGAGGAGGAGACCCAAGGGTCCTAGCAGCTAGAGAACCTGGGAGGGGCTCCAGCTGGACACTCCCCCACCGGCCAGGCAAGAAAGGCTCCAGGTGAAAGGTCGGGTGAGGGTCTCCTGCGGCCCTGGCCACTGGGGCCGCAGGAGGCCTGCGCAGCGGCAGGAAGGCCGCTCTGCTCCCGTCCTCAGGGATGACTATGAGTCCCTGGAGGGGCCCCACTGGACACCGGCTATCAAGCAGGCCACGCGCTGGAAGTACTCGCCCATGGGACACGACGCAGCGGGCCAGGCGTGGTACCCGGGCCTGACCAGCTCGGAGCCCCGGGAAGCCTGGTACACCCTGCCCCGGGACCCCGACAGCCCGCACCGCGAGGCCTACTCCCGATGGCACCGATGCCACAACCACCGGGAGCAGGGCCAGCCCCCAGGTGAGTGCCCTCGCCCAGCCCCGACGGCAGGGTGCCCGTGGGCGGGCGCAAGTGACCTCCTGTCCCTGCAGCCTACACCCAGCGCCTGCGGGAGACGGCCTGGCACGACCCCACCATGCCCGCGCAGTACCGCGGCTCCAGCACGCGCTGGGGCAACGCGCTGTGGAGGGACCAGCCCCTCCGGGTCAAGGAGTACGGTGAGCAGGTGGCCGGGACCCTGGCAGCGGGGGCGGGGTGCTGGGGACACCCGCTGACCTGGGTCCCTGCCTGCAGTGGTCAACAGGAGCCGATATAAGGCGGAGCCGCACTCCCACGCGGCCGACTACGTGCCCTACCTGTCGGTGCCCCAGCGCCCGCGCTACACCACCCAGAACTACCGCCTCTGGGACCTGGATCCCTACTGCCCCGCCACCGACCAGCCGTCCACCTACACACCCACCTTCTGATAAAGTTCGTTCTGCCCATGCCATGGCCTCTCTGGCCACCGCCCTCTCTGGCCACCGCGCGGGGGACCCTCCACCCTTCAGCTTCTCCCCAGCTGGGTCTGCCCAGCCAGGGGCCGCACTGCTGGCCAGGGTGCAGGTGACCAGAGGCCTGGCACACCAGGGACGGCACACAGCTGCCCGCCCACGTTAGCTCCCCGAGTCCCCATCCGTCCCCAGGAGAAGAGGAGTGGCACCCAGTGCAAGGTCTTTATTCAGGCCCCAGTGGGTCCCCAGCCCCCAGCAGCCCTGCGGCCCCACAGCGGCCGTGCCACGGCCCAGGCTGGTCTCCTGGCAGGATCGGGGTGCGACGCCGGTGTGGAGGCTCCCGGGACAGAGCGAGGTGCACATGGCTCTCCCCCTGTGGGCCCCAGGCCTCGGGGTGTCGGGACCACCAGGTGTGCCCACCCCGTGGGGCTGAGCCGGCAGGGTCACCCGGTCAGCGCCGCGGGGCTTCCTGAGGCCTGGGCACGGTCAGGGTCGGTCTCCAGGGTCCCCTGGAAGGGTGGGGTGAGGGTGGCGTTAGGAGGAGGGCCTGTCCCAGGCCCGGCCGGCCCCCCCTGGGTGGAGGAGAGAAGGAGGTGACTCACGGCTCCGAAGGTGGATGGGCCACATGACCAGGCTGCACAGGGCCAGGGTGGCCACCACGCCCACACCGCCGGTCACGGCCACCATCACCCAGTGGTAGAAGCCCACGCAGGACCGACAGCAGAGTTCCGAGCTGGGAGGGCAGAGGGCGGGGACACATGAAGCCCAGCCGGGGTGCCCTCACCTCCAGCCACAAGCACACCTCAGAGTGACCAGGGCTGGGCCTTCTTGGTCACCCCGAATCTGGACACTTCTCCCCTCCTGGACCTCCACCTGGTGTCAGCTCCACCCTCACTGGCAGCCTGTCCTCCCCACAGCAGCCACCAGAGGGCGCCCGTAAGCCCAGGCCCCGCCTCTGCCCACAGCCCTGGGGCCCAAGTCCTCTCTCAGCCCAAAGGTCTGCAGGAGCCGCCCACCTCGGCCTCCCTCCTCCTCCCGCTGCTCCCCTGCTGCCCACAGCACCTCACTGTGCCTCCAACACACGGGTCTCAGCCTTGCCCCAGGGCCTTGGCACAGCGGCACCTCATCCCTGGCCCAGGCCTCCCCACCCCCCCCAGGTCCTCTGTCCTGCTGGCCAGCCTCCCCAGGCCAGCTCCACGCCACTCCGCACGTGTGCAGCTCACTGACACCCACGACTGGCTTCAGTTAGGTCCTGAAGAGTCACCTGCCCCTGGAACCCGATGCTGGGCCCCCTCAGTGGCCTCCCTCCCCTCCGGCCCCGCCCTCCCACGTCTGCAGTGGGCTGTCCCCAGGGGAGGGCCCAGGTCCCCAGCTGACCCTTCAGCCCAGCAGGGACGGCCTCAGGCCCCGGGGGACACTTACGGGCAGGGGTGCAGGCTCTGCACCACCATGACTGCCAGCCCGTTGGCGACCTTGTCTGAGAAGCTCATGGCCCCGTACACGAAGGCCCCGCTGTGCTGGGGGACAGGACGGGTCAGCGCCAGGTCAGCGGCTCCGTCCCCTCCCGGGCCCACGCCGCAGCCCTACCGTGTGGGGGCCGATCAGGTCTGCCGTCATGGCCAGGGAGGTGACGAGGATGGTGGCACAGCCTGCGCCCAGCAGCACCGCCGCCACGTACACAGCCACGCCCAGCGTGTCCACCAGCGCCACCCAGGCCGCGAAGACCAGGACCACCAGGAGACCGGCGAAGTAGGTCAGCTGCAGGAGGCCACACAGCTGGGCACCCGCGCTCACCACCGAACGTCCCCAGCAGCCCCTCTGCTGAAGCCACCGGGGAGCGTCCACCCAGCAGCTGCGAGCACGTGGCCATCTACACCCCAAACTCCAGTCCTTAAGGCCAGGACAGGCCCCGGGAACCGGCAAAGCGCAGGGAGCCCAGCGCAGGGAGCCCAGCGCAGGGAGCCCAGCGCGAGAGCCCTGAGCTGCACCCCTGGGCCCCCGGCCGCCCACTCACGTTCCTCCCGATGCACTTGTTGACCGGCTTCATGAGGAAGGAGGACAAGAATCCACTGAGGTACATCACCAGGGGAATGGTCGCGATGAACCTCTGCGGGACAGTCAGCAGCAGCGCTCAGACGCGGCTCGAGGGGCTGGGCCACCCCGGCCACCCCTTCCGGCCCGCCCTGCTCACCTTGGGCAGGTTGAGGGAGTAAGTGAGGTACATGGCCATGTAGGTCTGGGACAGGTTCACAATGAGCCTCGTGGTCATGTACAGCACACCCACCTGTGGGCAGATTAGCAGAGGGACAGCCAGTGCTCAGCCAGGGCCCCTGTGCACCCAGGCCAGCAGCGCGGAGGTGAAGGGGTTTGCAGCGGGCGGTGGTGGGCTGGGGCGATCTGCTCGGGGGCGGGGCCAGACCCACCTGGTAGAATGAGGGTTCCCCGAGCCAGTGCTTCCAGAGCAGCAGGGGCTGCGGGCGGGGGGCCACCAGCGGGCTGTGCTCATCGGGCTCCTCGCCCCGCAGGCGGCGCCCCTCCCGGGTGCCCAGGTGGAAGAGCAGCGAGAAGCCGGCACCAAGGCCCACCACCATCAAGGACAGGTTCTAGGAAGGCAGCGGGAGGGTCAGGGGCAGCTCTCCAGGCCGCAGACTCGGGTGGCCACCTGCTCCCACTCACCCGGAACACTGGCACGTCCTGGACCCCCAGCTGGTCACCCACGCTGACGTCCTGGGCAGGCCCCGAGCTTGAGGAGCCCTGCAGGTGCAGCAGCAGCCAGGCGGCGCCGAAGACGGTGATGTTGGCCACCACGGTGAAGGCGTACCTGGCGGGGGCGGGGCCTCAGGCGGGGGCACCTCGCAGGGACGCCCCTGGCCGCGGCCTCCCAGCTGCCTTGCGCACCACTCAGCACAGGGAGGCCGCCACCAAGTCTGAAAACCAAAGTGCTCAAAGATGGCCCTCGAATTCTGTCCCCAAAGCTGCAGGGCGACGACTAGGGTCTGGGACCAGCCTTGGCTCCTCCTGCTGCAGGCTGCGCGCCCAGGCTGGAAGGGCGCCTGGATGTGACAGGTTTCCCTTGCTGAAGTGGTGTCGTGCCACCTGCAGAGTCCCTGCATCCCCACACTGAGTGGCCCAGAGTGGCTAGGCCCAGCCCTGCCGCGGGGCCCTGCGGATGCTGGCATTGGGTAATGCCTGCCGTTAGCATTGGACGCAACGGGGAAGTGGGAGGTCCTGGGAGGAGCCCAGGACAGTGCCCAGTGGGCTCTGCCTGCAGATGCCGGTCAAGCCCTGGCCCAGGACAGAAGTTCGGCTTAGTGGTCAGCCCTGGCCTGGGGGCATAAGGCCTTGGCTATGTCCCCAGTACAGCAAAACAGGACAACCTGGCTTTGGGCCCACCTCCTCTGGACTGTGGGAGACATAACAGTCCCGACTCCCAAATTCCCAAAGAGCTGGCACACAGCAAGCACTCAATAAATGCTCTTATCACTTCCAGAATAGCATCCTCTGGTGCCTGTAGCTAGTGGGAAGTAAGCCAGGCACTAAATGTACCATGTGGGAGGCAACAACGGCCCATGATTCCTCTTCTGTTCAGTGCCCAGGAGGGGACTGTAAATCCAGGACCGTCACCTACCCAGGTGTAGGTGACACACTGAAGCAGAATAAAGGGATCTTGCAGGTGTGATTTGGTCCTTAGGAAGGTGGCCTTGGGTGGGCCTGGCCTAATCAGGTGACCCTTTGGAGGCGGGCTGAGAGCCCCCGAGATCAGAGATGCCCTGGTGGCCATGTGCACTAGGGTTGTAGGAAAGCAACTGCCACCAGGGACACGCACACAGTCGGGGACCCCAAGCCTGGCACAAAGCCCCAGCCCCACCTCAACGACCCACAGCCCAGCTGTGCTAGTGCCAGGGCCACCCTGTGGCCAGTGTGGCACGCCAACCCAGAGCACCCGCCACGGGTTCTGGCTCGAGGCTCGCCTGACCCGAGCGTACCTGAGGGCCGTGAGCTCCACCTTCTCATGGTCGCTGGTGACCAGCTCGGGGATGAGGCTCAGGTGGGCGATCTGCGTGGCGGCCCAGCCGAACTGGAAGGTGACAATGAAGGGCCCGTAGTAGAGGAGGGCGGCCCACTCTGGGGTGGCCGCCCCACAGCCCAGGCACGGGCTGAAGATGAAGGGGAAGGACAGCAGGACACAGATGGTGCCTGGGGACAGGCAGAAGGGATGTCACTTTCGGGTCCTCCCCACACCAGCCTGGGGCTCCCTAGGTGTGACAAGGGGGACGTGGAAGCCCCAGTCCTGTGGCGGGCCCCTGATACTGAGGGAGCTGAGGCGGAGACGGGTCCCCTGTGAGGCAGCCACCAGGTCAGGTGAGGGTCAGCCGTAGGCCACAGGCCTGAGGTCCAGACGGAGCGTGCAGGGCCCGGTCTCCTTGACGGCCAGGAGAGCAGGGAGGCAGGCCCCTCCTGGCCCTGGACAGGGACCTTGTCTGCTCCCCCAACGCACAGAGCTTCAGGGGGTGGGTGGCCGAAGGCCTCCATTCCTCCTGTGTCCCTGGCACTTAGCAGAGAGCCTGCACCCCAGTGTCCTTCCAAGGAGTTAACGACAATACCGGGGTGGCCTAGGGGGTGGCCGTCCTGTCATCAAGGCCAGCCTGGGTGACTTCGGGAGATCCTGCTCAGTAAGAAAGGTCTGGGCTGCAGCCGGGGCGCTAGGTCCCACCTCAGCAAAAAGGAATGGGACTTACTGGTTTGTAAGAACAGGGGCCTGCACTTGGAGCCCAGGGGGCAGAGGGCCCCACTCCCTTTCCAGACCAGGAGACGGAGGCGGGCCCTGGAGCCCCCAGCCACTGCTCCTCCCAGCCCTGGAGCCCCCAGCCACTGCTCCTCCCAGCCCTGGAGCCCCCAGCCTGGGGGAAGTGAAACCACTGCTCTCTAGAGCCACCCACTTCTGTGGAACTGGTGCCTAGGAGGGGGACCTGGCAGATTCCCGGAGGCCACCCTGGGGCAGGGCGCAGTGAACTTCAGTCTGGAGACTGGGCCTCAGGCCTGGGAGATTCCTGCGGCCCCGGCAGGGTTAACCCTCGCTGGCCCAGGCTGCCTGGCGGGGCGAGCCCAGGCAAGTGTCTTCAAGTAATGACAGCTGACACTCAGGGTCAGCTGTGCAACGCAAGAGACCTGCTCTTCCTCCTGCCACAGCACTCGGAGCCGGGCCAGTGCTCAC